TTACGCTTTCCCGCAGCCGGGAGCAGCGAGCTGAGGACGCTCCTCGATGAATGGCTGTGTTCTGGGAGTGCAAATCATGCCAGGTTCTGCAAGTCAGAATTGGGCTCGGTGCTGCTGCCAGACGTGGTTTTCTTCTGTCACTGCCCAACGTGGTCTGCAAACGCTTGCTGTCTCCTGAGAGCACGGTCTCTGAGCTTCAGGGGCAGCCTGAGAGGTTGTGGGAGCTCTGCAGAGCCTGCAGCTCCTCCGTGCTTACGTGCAGAGTGAATGCCAGGGCATTAGTGGGAGGCGTGTAACTACAAGCAGTTGTAGTTCCAGGAACTTGAGCCGTGTCTCTCTGGGGAAAAGCAGAGAGGAGCTTGGGGGCTGGCATTTATTTGCATGATATTAGATTGGATTTAGGGAGAGAGGGGGGAAAGGAAGAATAAACCAACAGCAAATAATATTAAAAGCAGGCTTTTGGCTTGCAGTCTTGAATTGTCATACAATTGTTATTTGAAAGGCTTCGCTTTGCGGGAAGGCACCTCCAAATCATGAAGCTGATTGGAAAGTTTTCTTTATTGTAAATTTAGCCTGTGCTTCTTGAAGGAAGTTTGGTCACGTGCCTCCCCTGGCATGTGGGATTTTTCTGAGGAGTGGTGGCTTTTCTTTTTGCTTTCTTGTGAGACACTTGAGTTCCTCCAGTGCTCAAGCAGCAACCGGCTGTGCCTTGGGAACATCTATGTGTGCAGGAGCTTTGTAGCCTTATTTGGGAAGCTGCTTCCCGGGCGCGGGTCAGCACGCCATTGGCACTTGTCTTTTTCTCTTGTTGAGCAACACTGATCTCCTTCTAAGAAACTGCACTCAGTTAGCCACGTCATCCGTGAAATGTAGAGCCCAGGCTTTGTAAGAATGCTCCACAAAGCCCTACGGAGACGATGGTGGTCTCTCTGGAATGTGGGTCTAACTTTGCTGGAGGGTAGCAGTGCTGGGAGCCTCCTGGTGAGGTTTGGTGCAAGCTCTGAGGCTTCGGCAGGTGTCTGGCCCATTCTCGAGTCCTCTCCAAGCACAACTGGAGCCAGTCGAGTTTTCAGGGAGATACACAAAGTACCTGTTCACCCTGACATCCGAATGTTCCCACCAGGTTGTCTCAGATGCATAATGCTGGTTTTGGGTTACAGCCTGGTTGAATGCGGCTTTCGTGGCTAAGGATCGATCTGGTAATTTTGCAATACAATGCTATAATATTTCTGCAGAGTCTCATAATAAGGAGATGTAACTTATAAGAGCCCTGCTCATCCTACAGTTCCCGTAAGTATGTGGTATTGCCCAAATCTCTATAGTTGGGGCATTTTCTTTCAGGGTGGCACCACGCAGCACTGGTCCAGCAGCTTCAAGGCGAGCACCTGGAGATAGGTGACAGGGGAAGGTTGGCACAGCCACTGTGGTTCTGGGCCGGAACAAGATGCTGTTTCAGCAAAAGTTCAGGATGTGAAAGGAGGAAAAAACAGTCAGGGGAGTTGCAGCCGAGTCAACCTGGCTTTATTTCCTAGGAGAATATGGAAACAAATACAGTGCTCAAAGCACCTAGAAGACAACCACCAACGCCTGTTTGCTGAGTCTGAGCTGTGCCTGGCTAATCTGACTTCCCTCTCAGGTGGGTTAGCGCTCTGGGGATGAGGGGAAGCAGCAGATATCGTACACCTCGTCTTTACTGAGCCTTGTTACACTCTTTATGATTTCTCAGAGGTCAGCTTGAGAATACCACCCGGCTTGGTTTCTCAAACTTTAGTACAGCAAGCACCCTTTGGGGCTCCTTGATCTCTTTCAAAGTAAAAGAAGAGCTAGCAGTTAGTTCCAGTTTTGTGTAAACATTTCCTCCCACACCCCAGCAGTCAGGGGTGTAGTTAACCCTTCCAGAGCTGCTCTAAGCTCTCGCATCCTGTTACTGCATCCTTCTTCCTGCAAGAGGAACTGGTCATGATTTTGAGCCAATGTGACTGTGCAGTTTTTATGGTAACTTCTCTTAAGTTTTGAAAGCCTGAAACAAAGGCTTCCTGAGGCTCTGTGAGCCCTTCCTGCAAGAGGCCTACAGTCCACAGTGCGAGGAGAAACTGGTTTCTCAGATACTATAAAATTAATATGAAACTGCCTGGAAAACCATTGCCAGGGAACTTGACAGTGGCTCGCTGTTCAGCTGAAAGGATTTATCAAGAAAGTTCCTTGTTTTGGCTTGGATAATGGAATCGAGAATGTGCTTATTGAATTTGCAGACGGTACTGAGCTGGGAATGGATTCGAGAGCTTTGAAGAGCTGGATTAGAACCAAAATGAACTCAACAGATTGACTGAATGGTATGAAAGAAATACGATGCAGTTCAATACAGAGAAATGCAGAGAACTACGCTTAGGTGAGAACAGTCGCGTGAAAAAAAAAAACGGGAGGAGATGGTCCAGGCTGTGTCCTGCAGAAAGACGACGTGAACAGCAAGAGCCATCGGAGACCTAATGCTCGTGGGGCTGATGGCATCGGGGTTGTCCCTCCACTTCCAGCTACAGCCCTATGTGATGCTGGCTAGCTGCAATTCCAGTTCTTTTCCCTCAAAAGCAATGCGAGTTTGTGGGAAGGAGTAGGCAGCTTCAGCTGGGTTTCACGTGCGGTTTTACCCTTGTCTGCATTCATGGCTTTGGAGCCAGTGTTCAAAACTGTTCCCCAGGGTTGACATCAAGGTATTCCACCTCTCGCACTAGGCGAGCAGAAAACTTCTAGCGGCACCGATTGTCATCTGCCAGGTTTGACTGAGTGCTCCTGCAGTTAGATTCCTCATTTTGGCTAGCCAAAAATCTTCCCTGGTGGTCGGTTTCATCCAGCTTGTGGTGCTCAGTGGTTGCGGCCCAGCCTGCAGCATTGCAGCTTGTCTCAAGTTTGTAGCATGAGATTGCCCGTGCTCAGTACAGCTATTCACCACTTGTGCAAAAGGCAACTGATGCGGCTCCTCTGTTGTGTTTCCTTCTCGGGAGGTAATTCTTCAGCTTTTTGCAGGTGGTGGGGCTCAAGGTTTCCCTTGTCAGGTGCTCCTTAAATCTCCAAGACTTGCAAATTACTCTTCAGAACAGGTAGCAGGAGGAGGAGGTGTACAGAACAGCCTCGGGGCTTTCCTTTTGGTTTCCAAGAGGAACTCTGCGGTAGTATCTCTGTAGTTTTGTTGTATATCTTCATTGTGGTTTGTCTTCCCTGGGTTTCTGTTTACACGATGAGTTAAAGTAAACGTGTTTTTAAACTCGCTCTGTAGCATTGATACTCATAGTTTTAAATGAGTCATTTTGATATAGATTACATCCAGAACAAGCTAGCCAGCATAATCTGCTTTCATCTTCTGTAGTGACCATCAAAGGACTTTATGGATTCAACTCAGAGCCCTGCATCTTTTAAAATTAATTTTTGTTAACCTTGTGCCATTTCTTCATGTGGACAAAGCCTAATTTATATGCACAGTAGGACCTAAGAATCCAGACACCAACCTTAGTCCAGACCCTGCTTTATTATGTGAGTTTCTTTCTGTATGTCTTTGCTTTTTTCTCTCCTCTCCATTATGTCTTTTGTTGGTAATTGTTTTCAATTACCAGTTTTTTCCTTGTCTTTCTGCGCTCACTTGCTAGCACCCCATGACATTTCCCAGCACAGGGCTGTTTTTTCTAACAAACCCAGCTTCTGTCCAACTGGACCGAGCTGTTTATTCCCAGCTTGGGCAGCGGGTCCTGCTGGAAGAGGAGACTCCAGCAGCAGATTGCCCTGAACTGAGGCGTGAAGGTGGCAGCTCTTTCTCCGCAGGTGAAGGCAGTGGCGTCTGCTCCATTCCTCTGTTCAGCCTGCAACAAGTCTCGGGGAAGGAATGTAGTTATCGAGTTACCGTAGCAGCCTGTTTACCACAACTTGATTTCTGAACGCTCACCGCTTCCTGCCAGAATACAAGCCCATTGCCTCGAGTTACCTCGGGAGAGCAAACAACACAGAGCTCGTTTACAACCTCAAATTGTCCCGGCTTTGATGTTTTGAGCCCTGTGTCCCCGTAAGTGTTGGGTCTCCCATTCTTCCTTGCATGCTGTCCATCAGGGCAGCAGCTTCCTGCATCTGCTGAGAGCTCCATTTATCTACAAACTCCCAAGCAATTAATCTCATTTCATAAAAAAAAAAAAAAAAACAGATGATGTGCTTTCTCTTGGCTCTGGGAATTCTTGCTTGAACATGGGACCCCTTTGTTTGGGAAGAGGCCAAGCTGGATGGCAGCTTCCCGGCTATGAATCCTCCGTTTGTAGCGTGCCTGGCTGCCGTACACTGCCCCGGAAGGGGCACGATGGATGTTTGTGGAAGTGATGGCCAAGCGGCTGTGAGACCCGGGCTGTTAGAACAGTGGGCGTATTATAGCTGCAAAAGGCAATTTCTCTGCCAAATCTCATTGCGCAAGAGGTTTTATTCTTTAGCCTTGCAAAGATTTCCCTTTGTTGGTTCCTTTTTCACTTGCTCTGTGAGACTTGGGAAAGAGGCTGCAGGACTGCAATGGAAAAATGAACGTTCGGCTCATCTGACTTGCGTTACCAGGACGGAGCTCTGCTGCACTCAGACGTCCGGCTTGCATGAAAGCCACCAGCTGGCATCCCACTCCTGTTTAATGTGTCGGTTTTCCCAGTTTTTTTCTTATGCTTTGAATATTTTCCGACATATAATCTAGCTTAGTAAACTGCACTGTGCAGACATGTTGTGTAGCGCTGGGAAGCAAGCACGGGGCTCGTGTTAGGTGTGATACTACATAAAGTATTTCCTTGCATTGCCTGCAGAGGAACAGAAACATCTGCGTGGAGAGGCACATTCTTGTAACAATGGTGGGTTTAGGATGCAGAGTTTTCTCAGAACATTATTATGAAACGATTACCAGAGGTTTGGTAAAGACCCCATTGACCCTGTGAAATTAAATACCTTTCTACGTGGAGCTGCTTTTCCCAGCTGCCAGGAACACCTCCCTTCCTGTTCTTGGAAAACAAGGGCCTGGCGAAAAGGCAGAGCTAACGGGGCTGACGTCCTCCAAGAAATGTTAAAAGGCATTGCGGTTAATGTGCTGCGGGGTATTGTATCATCAGCTTCTGTAATCCTTGCCTGGCTGAAATAGCCTTCCAGCTACTGGGAGAAGCTATCCAGGGGCTTCTTGGAGGTGACGGGAGAATATTCCTCTAGGCTGTGGAGCACAGGAGACTTGAACAAGTGTGTAAATCCGTCTCCCATTTGTGTTTAGTGCCTACTGAAATCAGAGGGTGAACAGTTGTAGAGGGGGCCAATCTGCCAGTTTATCAACCATTGCATGGAAGCCAGGGAAGCAGGCAGTATCTTCAGCTGGTAGCAGAAGATGGCCAAAAGCTTGAGGATGGGGAGGAGGAGGAGGATGGGGAGGACAGAGTTCCCTCCTGTGGTCCGGAGGGCCCTGCCAGCACGCTGGCCTGGATGTGTGCTGCCTTTGCTTCTTCGTTTTGATGGATCGCAGCAAACTTAATAACCGGCGCCTCTCTTGAAAGGGCTGTCTTCTGCGGCTGCCGTCTGCTGGCTCCGTAGCTCTCCCTTTGCACTCCCACAGTGCTGCAGCCACGCTGTTGTCCCTGCATGCCTGGCTCTGTCTTGCCTGCATAGATACATCCCACAGGGCTGAAACTGCCTCTTGCTCTGTTGGTTCAGCGCTTGCCTTGCTGAGGCCCTCGGGCGCTGCAGTAATAAGTGTGATTATGGATAACAGACTAGGGAGGGACTGCTGGCTTGATCAGCCTGAGAGACAGAAGCTCGCTCCTCCCTTGCCAGGCATGAAACCTGGGGCTGGTTGCTGTCAGGGTGCTCTCTTGGAAGGTATCAGGTGTCTTATTCCTTGAATCAAAGATGTGAAGAATGCAGACAAGCATCTTCTGGCTTCACTGGAGTCAAATCTTAAATGTGTCGGAGGAGTTCTAGAGGCTGCCCAAACTCTGGGCGCAGCCAGCTCTGTGATGGACCATGAAAGCCTTGGGAACTGCAGCACTTGCATGAGGTGTGACTAGGAGATGGTTTTGGGGAGCTCAAGGGTGCTCCCCTCCTTCAACGCTGACCTGCTAACTTTTTGATAGGTTTAAAGGCAGTTTGCAGTGTGGGTGAGGGGACGGAGATGGATTTCTTACATGGCTTTTCATGACAGAGCCGGTGCATCACAGTTAAAGATACTGAGGCGTGTGCTTGTAACGATTCTGTTTGCTAAAAATGCTTAAACTGCTTAACGAAACTAAAATAAAACCCTGGTTTGAAATACAGTCGCTTTCTGTGTGTTATTGTTCGTCACACTGAATTATTACAAATACTACTTTCCAGTTTTGTAAGACAATTCCAAAAAACAGGTTGCCTTTGGAAAATTGCCATGTGAAGCCCACGGAGGTGAGGAGAGTGCTGGGTTCCCTGGTGGCCAGCTGTGTTATGGCCAACCGAAGGGTGTTCCAGAGCTGCTGTGGATCCTGGAAAGCCTTTTCTGTGTTGATTATTTACCAGACACTGCAAGCACACTTGGGTTCTTCTGGGTCAGGTTGCAGAGCTTGGCTTGGTAGCACCCGTTGCTGTAACATAGCCAAGCCAAAGTGCCTCCCCGCCTCCGAGGGGCTGGGGGAACCAAAGACCCCCCAGGATGCCCTTTCCCAGCACCCAGGGGCTGGGCAGGCTTGCTGTGAAGTCGCTCTGCTCATGACTCAGTCTGGGTGCGGGCTTTTCTCTGGCTGAGAGCAACATGTGCACGTCTGGGTGTGTGTATAACCCCTACATCTCTGTGCTTTCTGCTGTGCTGCAGGTGGCTGTTGTGGCTCTGATGTAAAGCAGTATGTGTACGGAGGCTGGGCCTGGGCTTGGTGGTGCATTACTGACACCCAAAGGTAAGGAGACCCCCGTTATTTGTGGGTTTGGAGTATGAGTTAGGCAAAGCCATCCCGGTGGGGCTGTCAGCAGTATCTTTAGGAAGACGGGACCAGGCACTGCGTATGAAATCATGGATGAGCATCAGGCCCAGCCCACTGCCTTTGGCTGTCAGCAGCTCCCAGTCCTTCGAAGGAAGGCTGCCTTGCGTACAGCACTGCGAGTAGCTGGAAGGAGCAACACGCATCCTGTGTCCTGCCTCGAAGCATGGGGAACGTAGGGTCGCCGAGAGCTGCACAGCTTCTGGCCATCCTCTGCTTTGAGTGATGGGGCTGAGGTTGTCCAGGGCCCTGCAGGACGTAACCCTGTCATTTCAGGCTTACCTGACAGTAAACAGTGATCAGTCATGTGCAAAATAAAATCATAGGATGGGGGAGTTCTGACCAATTTTGTGGGGACAGCTGGGTGTCACGGTGCAAAAGACAAAAGAGAAAAATCCCATACTTTCAGCTGAAATACTTTTCAAATGGCCTCTCTGTCCACACCTCTCTGTCCATTCCTCTTCTCAAACCCAAGGCAGTCAGATTGGTTGGTTGGGGTTTTTTTTTCCATTTTGGTTGTTTTTGAGTTACCTAAAACCCACCACGCTGAGAGGGCCATAGCCTGGCTGGTCAGTGTGTTTCTTCCTGTGCTGGGGAAGGCGAGAGTCCTGCTCTCTTCTGCTGCCTTTCCAGCACGCCGCAGCTATGAGGCTCTCACAGAGGTGCTGGGCAGCGGGGCCACCGGGCTGGCTCATCCATGAGTTCACAAGAGGAGCTGAGCTCTGCCCAGCGTGGCCCAAACCCTCACCTGGTACCAAACACATCTGTGGTATGCAGCGGGCCAGTGCCCCCTCCTGCTCCTCAAAGTCTCTTTTTCTAAAGATGTGCTGACTGCTGTCACCTTGGGAGCAGGCTGTGTTCCTATTTAAAACCACGGGATTTCCTTTCTCTCCCTTTACTCAGTCCAGGATTTTGCTTGCTGCTTCTTACCGTGCTGGTCTCTGAACTAACGTGCTGTGATAGTGCTGCTGTCCTGCTAACGTAGCTCTTTGTCTTTAGGATCTTTGGGAATGTTACTCTCTCCTAACGCCTCCCTCGTGCTCACCAGTGCAGGTTTCCTCCATCTGTGCAAAAAAAAAATAGGGAAAAAGGATAACGATGTGACTTTTGGGTTTTTGCACCGAGTGACAGCCAGAGGTTGTAGTTAACCCTTGCTGCCTGATCTTGCCACCTCTTTTCCCTGTTCGTGTGTTGCCACCAGCAGATGAAGCGAGCATGTTGCTGTCCTCGCTCTGCAGATGATACGCTGCCATAGCTGCTCTTCACCTGAGGGTCAGGCAGCGTGCCTTGTCCGAAGGGGAGCCTGGCTGCTGCTGGCAACTGACTCACGACAGCTCTCAGGTCCTCTCCCAGGTGGCTGGTACTCGGGATTTCTACGAGAGCCTACCATAGCGCTCCGGCTGCATGAAGAGGTCTCAGCTAACACCTTCTGCTTTAGCCCGGGCTCTACAGCGATGCTCGTACGAGGTGGGAGGCGAAGGAAAGGCCCGGCTTGTGGGCTCAGTGCTTAAGAACTGCACTTGATCCAGACAAGCTTCATTGCTGAATTTTGGTGAGGCATCTTGTCGGGACAACTGTTGATCTCAACAAATGGTTTCTGCTCCTCCTCTTGTTGCAGGAGAAGCCCAGAGAATGGCTCAGGACCTTGACCTGCCGTGTGCAGGAGATAACAGATGTATTCGGGAGGCTGACTTATTAAGCAAAGGCTGAGTCCGGGGCCAAGAACTGCTTGCCAGGAATGAGCTGTCCCAAACAAATATTTTACTTTAAAATTTATACCCCCGGTTCATGCTATGAGATATGGGGCTTAATTCTCCTTTTAAAAACAGGACCTTTCCTAAATAGCATAAGCTGTGCCACAGATGGAGCCTGCTGCATTAGCATGAAGAGTGAGGCAGATTTCCTCCTCCGAAATTAGGACATCTTTTCTGGAACTGCCAGTGCTGAAAGCAGGAGAGACAGCAGCAATTGTGTTGCTGTCAGCGGCATCCCGCCAGGTAGCACTAACCTGGGAACAAAAGGAACAGTTAGAGCTGGCAGGGTGCTGGGCTCTTATCCTGCTGCAACCTTGAGGAGTGGGAAGAAAAAAGAAAAAAAAAAAAAAATCCCGTCCCTGTTTAAGGGTCAGAAATAAAAGCAGTGAGAGAGGCAGCTTGGTCTTACATGCCTCTGAGGGAACCAAGTGGTATTATTCAGCTTCTCAGGACAGCACTTGGAAGCACCCACTCTCATCAATGCCTTAGCCAGGGGTGGGTAGCCAAGTCCCTGGTGTTTTCATTTTTATGGCCCCTCTTAAATGTTGGCATAGAAGCATCTAAATTATTACAAAAAAGGAATTTTCTGTGGGTGAAGATCACTCCAACAGAGAATTCCAGCTGACTCCAGGATGGCAGTCCAGGTGGGATACACGGTTCGCTTTCATCTGCAGTGACTGATGGGACGCAGGGTGGAGATGAGCCCCCAGCCTGTTCAGCCTCGTTAAAAGGCGCAGTTGGATGCTGTAAATTCCCTGCCGTGATGAGGGAAGCTGGTCTGGCCCAGTGTTACGGAGCCCTGGGAGCGGGCAGTGGGAGTAAAGGCAAACTGAGCAGGGAAAAGCCGAAACCCGAAAGTCTCGTCTGTCCTTTGCAAATGGGTGTCTTACTCTCTGATAACTGCTTTGTATATTTGCTGTCCTACCCTTATTCCTCGCTGCTCAGACTGTCTTTGGAGGTTATGACCATCCTCTGTCGCTGCGAGAATATTGAGACGTCGGAGGGGGTCCCACTGTACGTAACAGGGGTTGCACAGGTAATAATCCACCAGCTTCCTAACATCATGTCTAACTGTTCACCCCTCTGTTTTGAGCAGCAGCAACAGCAGCAGCAGCAGCAGCAGGATAACATAAAAACTAATGGTTTTCTAATGGGACAGTTGAAATCTCAATACCCTCCTCTCCTTCCCCTTCTCCGGCACTTGCTCTGGGGTGCACTCCACAGTTTATAGGTAATGCAGACAGATGCATACTTGGCAAATTCCAAATTCAGCATGGCTGTACCGGGCTCCTTCTGATAACGCTGCAGACATTTGCTCCAGCTGTAACCCTTTCCTCGGCAGCACTGTTTCCATTGTGTGCTTAGTGGAGAGCAGAAGGGCTTCTTGCTTCTGTGTGGAGCCACAAGCAGGCCAGGCTAGGTTCTGCACAGGATTTGGGGCAGGTGGGAAGGCAGGTTTTGTGCCGTTTCAAAAGGAAGCCTGTACACGTGTGGGGAAATTGCAACTGTACCTGGCTCTGCAATTTTGGATATGGTTTTCCACTCAGCCCTTCTTCCTCCGCATGGAGACTGTGCCCATTTTGAATGTTGTCACATTTGAAAGTACAGCATAGAGACCTTGGATGAGTTTCGACATACAGGATTAGCGTTTGTGCTGCAAGCAGTTGTGAACCAGTGTAACAGTAATTCCTAAACATCCCTGTGACTTCCTGGCTAAGAAGCAGCACAGTATTGAAATTAAATTCAAAGTATAGATTAGGTCTTCAGAAGGCTAAAATCCTCCACTAGCTGATTAAAGCTGTGAATGCATATGGCAAAAAATGCCTGTGAATGTCCTGGACAGTGGGATCTATTTTATCAGCTCCAGGCTTGCGTGCCAGTTTAATTAGGACAGTGGCCAAGGCAGGCGTGAACTTGCGGAGATAAGTTTCAGCACCTCCAGCCAATCCTGGAGGGGCTCGGCATGAACGCAGCAGCCCAGCGCAGCCCCTTCATGGTTCAGATGTTTGACCTAATGTTCACTGACACGAGCTGCCTGCCCTGTGGCTCCCTGTCCTGACTCCCAACTCCTTCCTGGCTTGTTAGGGCTGACACAAGATCCGGGCTTTGCTTCCTGAAGCAGAACCTGCCACAGCCAAGCATGTCTCTTGTTTTACCAAAATATGACCTGCAGATTGCTGGGCCTGGCCAGAGCACCTCAAGCTCACTTTGGGCAACTGAGAAAGCTCCGGATCTGCAGGATCTGTTCCTGGGTACCTGATACTATACAGGCATGGCCCTAAAGAGCTGGAGACTCACTTCTATCTGCCTTTGGGTCACGGGATGCAGCAAAAGGAGAGGGAGAGGTGAACCAGATCGGGGGGTGGGTCTGTGTTAATGCTCACCCAGCGAGGGCAAAGGCAGGGCTGCTTCTTGCAGCATCAGCGCCAGGTTTTGCCAAGCACCAGGTCTCCTACAGGGGTAGCGGTGCGGGACAGGTGGGAGCATCCCAGGTCCATGCTGTGCTTTTAAACCAGTGACACCAGCCAGTGAGAGCATTGCCCCGGCACTGGGCAGCGTGGCACAGCGAGCCTCAGACAGAGAGCCCTTTGGGGTCCCAAAGCTGCTAGCTTCTGGCCACCTCACTAGCCCAGCAGAAGGGAAAGGGTCACAGTATCATTTCCAGTCTGACTCCCAGCCTTTCTCTGCTGATAAATTGCCTTTAAGCGTTATCTGAAAATCTATTTCTTGGCCAAAGTGACTTGTCTGTCTCTGGTCACAGATGCAGTCCCTTGGCTGCATACTGCGCCTGTCTGACATTACCTGTGATGAGTGCGGCAGGTAGTCTGGGGCAGGAGATGCAAGGGGAAGAGCTGAGTGTGTGTTACCTGGAAACGTGCAAATATTTTACGTTTTTTGGCAGGATTTCCCTAGAGATAATGACGTTACAGCCCAGGTGTGAGGACGTAGAGACGGCGGAGGGGGTAGCTTTAACTGTCACAGGTGTGGCACAGGTACAGTAACTCCAAAACATCATTTCAGGAATGCATGTCTCTAACTTACGTCTGGTTTTCCCCCTTAAGAGGTTGCTGTTGTCCAGGAACAGAAGCCAACTGCTTGGAAACAAATTCTTGTACAAAACCACACTGTCCTCATTGGTTCAAACACACGGCAGCATGTCCCATGTTGTGAAGGGGGTTGTGACCTCTCCTCCTCTCCCCCAAATCATTCCTCTTTTTCTGGTGTCTCATTTGTCCATGTGGCAAATGAGATGTGTGTGGGTGAGTTGATCTGTTTGTGAAATGCTGATGTACCACAGTGCCCTTGGAGTTGTGTGTGACCCTGCAGGACTGAGCCGTTCACTCCTGAGATGGTATCGAGCATTATGTTGCTTTGGATTATTATTATTATTAGTGCATGGACCTTGTAATTCTTCACAGTGAGTTAAAGCTTAAAGAAAGAATTTGGTCCCTCCAGGTGCTAAAATTTGTGTATAAAATTTCTGGTTTGAATTGAATTTTGATTCTCTCCAGCCTTCTTACGTGAAAACCAGCTCCTGCTGCTTGTGATAGCACACTTAAACACCTGCATTTCTTAGACTCTGAGTTCTGCTGCCCTGATGCAGAGCCTGTCCTTGTGACCAGGTCCTGCCTTGGGGAGGATGCTGGGAAGAAAATGTTAGTTTTTGACTGAATTTGACTCCTCAAATAGGCAGCTGGATGCTTTGATTGAAAATTGCTCCTGACAGCTCATTCTGGATGTATAAAACCAAGATAGCTGTTCTCAGAGGGTGCACGAGGCTGTGGTCACCGTCTGTCCAAGGCATGTCCAGGCCCATTGTTGCAGGAGAGGTGACTGCCACACTCCCTGCAGTGAGCAGTGACGCCAAGGGGAGCTGCTGAGTGACACAGAGATGTGACCAAAACCCCACATGCGTCAAAAGGCTCCCCCCAGGGAAGAGCACTGTGGCTGCTGCAGCCCTTTTAAGACTGAGCACTTGACAGATTTCACCCAGTGCTTTCCAGAGCAGCGGATTTCTCCCTAGGTTCATTGGTCTGCTCTGAACTGACGTTGCAGAGGAGCTGCACGCTGTGTCTGTGCATAACTGAGGATATGAATTCAGCCAGGAGCGGTTTCTGGGTTGTCGCACATGGCAGAAGGGCTGGGCATCACCGTGACTCAACAGCGGATAATCCGTCACCCTGCTGCTGTTGGGGAACATGGCTATGTGCAAGAACACCAGCACGGGAGCAGGCATCTTGGGCTCGTCCTGGCTCTAATTGGTGTGAACCAGCATCCTTGTTTTTAGTTTTTCAGTTCTTTATATCCATTTAGCTGATAACGTGTCAGATAAGCACAGTGGTCTTTGCATGGTTGGCAAAGTGCATGTGCCCGTGTCTCCCCTCACATGCATTTCATAAATCCATAGGCTTTTCCTTCTGTGTTTGGAAAAGGTATTTCTGTGAAGCCAGCATTCCTTTTTGGCCTCATTTTGGGACATCCTTCCATTGCCTGCAAAGTGGTCGAGGCTGGGCAGCATGTGGTAGCAGAAGGCTGGATCACCAGGTGCCTTGATTTAAAAATGCAGCTCCCGATTCATCTCATTCATGTTATTCTCTCTTTTCACTGTTAATTTTTTTTTCCACTGTCCATTAATTTTAAAGGTTCAGGGTTGTGAGATACAAGGAATTACCAGGCAGAAAGCAGGCTTGAGGTAGTTGGGCATGTGCGTGGCAGAGGTTACCTTAATTTTGCAGAAGTACTTTTGAAGCAGATATTTTTCTTTTAAGAGCTTGTGTAAAAAAGGGAAAAAAGCAAACGGATTATCACTAGAGAAACACCTTTTAAAACATTTGCTGTAATAGAAGTGCTTAATGTGCATAAGGATGCTGTTCTATTTTTTTTTTTTTTTTGGAGAGAGCTGTAATGAGTACTCACCAGTAGCCTCCTTCGTGTGTTGGCTGGGTGCTTGGGGTGCACTGGGATGCTGCTGCCTTAGGCCATGCTGGGCTTCGTATCCTTCCGTACCATTTTTCTGAGCCTCAAGCTAATTGGATTGTCTCTGCTCGCCCCTCGCTGTGATTGCAGCTGGCTGGAGCTGGGTGCGGCAGTATCGATCCTCCAGATGGGATTGTTTTGTAGAGGCTCTCTGATTTCCTGCCAGCTAAACTCTCTCTCTGATGCGAATGACATTTGAAGAAGCACCAAGTGTCACAGCGCCCTGCCTGAAATACTGGAAACAAGCTGAGCGCAAATTGCTCGACTCTGTTTTGTTTTGTGCAACCTTTGCTTTGTAGGTTGTCATCCACATTGAACAGATAGCCAGGCTCGTTGGGGCTGTCCAGGGTTTACTGGCATGGGCAGGCTGCTGGCTGGCTTTATTCATGGAGGCTGAATCGTTCCTTGCTCCTGTTAAGTACCGCAGGGACTCTCTTAACGAACATCCCGCTCCATGCTCTGGCTGTCCTCTCCGTAGCTCCAGAAGGGTGTTTGGAAAGGTGGAATTGCTGGCAGGTGCACACCATAAACCTTGCTGCTGAGTCTAATTGGGTTTGGTATTTGCAAAAAACCTGTTTGCTGCAAAATGAGCCTTGTGCATGGCCCAGGCTCCCGGGTGCAGCTGCATGAGCAGCTCTCCCAACTCCCCCTTGTGTAGAAAGCACACACTGCCGGCCCCGGGGTTGCAGGGACAAGAAACCACTGTGGCCTGGCCCCATAAGGAGCCCAGAGGTCTTGGGGAGAAAGCAGAAGAGGATTGCCACACTTGCCCAAGATTCAGTTTGGCATTTTGACTGGGAGACCCAGCCTGAGAAGCAAAAGTAGGAAATAGGCTCAGCCCAGGTTGGTGTTTCTTCATGTTACTGGAGGTGGGGTCGTGGCAGCTGAGTCTTGGTCACCTTGCCACGTCTAACACTGTCCACCTCTGGTCCTCTTAGAAGGTGGCAGCCGGTCCCAGTTGTCGTGCTCTCTGGGTGCTACTGTTTGGCTCCAGAGGCTGGGCTGTGGGATCGTTTCAGACTCACAAGCTATCAGACCAGCCTTTCTGAAAAAATAGTTGTGTTTCTTTTACCAGAGGTTCAACCCTGAAAAGCGGTCTTGTAGGTGGGAGAATGAGGTCTGTAGATCATGAACCCATCAAGAGCATGTGTTGGGACCCTCGGAGGGCCCCCCTGCTGCACCTGAAGCTTTGGAGGTCTCTGAGCCAGGGCGGTGCTGTCATCACAGGTAGCAGCAAGTCCAGCCAGGGCCCATGGGGCAGGACACAGGGTGCCACCTGCATCTCATGGGGCAGGAGGCACTGCCCAGCCCCGATGTCTCCATGAGAGGGTGCTGTGGGACTTGCTCAGCGCCCAGAGGTGCTGGTATGGCCTGCTCCCGTCTCTGGTGCTGCCAGACACACAGACGTCCCTGTGTCCAGGCTTTGCCTGACCCCTCAGACTGGACCTGGCCACCAGGAGCTGTCGCCTTCGTGGGTTGTAGCTCCTCATAGCTGGATGCTATAGAGCTCCATGAGCGCACATCTCCACTGCCTAACATACCCCATAAGGATTTTTAACCCATTTTGCCTTCAAAAAGCAGCCCTATGACCAGCAGGACCATTTTAAGACCCTGGCTTGTCTGGACCTGGGGATGCTTTTCTGTCTGGCTCTGACTGTGGGAGGTGAAAGCGGCCTTGGGGCAGCTGTGTCCCACCTCTGGGGATCATTACCAGACTAACCATGCAGAGCAGGACAACCAGGTCCTGGCCATGGCAAGATGGGGTCACCGCAAAGGGCAGCTGGGAGATGCCAGCCACGAGCAGGACAAACCAGTCTGCCACGGCCATCTCGTCTCAGCTCTTCTTGTAGGGAATGCCAAATAGAGCCCCTGTTCCCAAGCTGCTCCTTGGGCATTTCACACTCTCATTCTCTGCCTTTCCCATGTCAGAAAAATTATTTCTAGTGAAGGAGGAGTAAGAGAAAGGTAATGAAATGGCTTTTGGCCAGGAGTAGGAATAGAAAGCCCTCTCTTCCTGGGTCTGGTATTGGTACAGTGGCTGAACTGGTAGTTCAGGGATCTCTGGTAGAGTTTTCATCAGGTGGGACTTGTAGGGCCAGGTTCTGTCCCCCCATCACCTGGTGGCCGCTGCTGTGGGATAGATGGCTGCAGGGAGCACCGCTCCATGCTGAGCTGCAGTCAGGGTTTGGAGAGGTCCCTGCCCTGGCTGCTGTGTGTGCCTGCAGCAGGGCTCTCCCTGGCAGCAGTGAGCGGGGGCTTCATGGCTGGTCCGGTGGCCCAGCTCAGCATGGTGACAGCTCAGCATGGTCCCTTGGTAGCACAGGGGCCTGGCAGCCTGGTGGTGGTACTGCTGCTTCTGCTGCTGCTGCTGCTGTTAGATGCTGACAGGCGCCTTCAGTCCCTTTGGTTTTGTCTCCTGTCTCTAGGTGAAGATAATGACCGAGAAGGAGCTCCTGGCTGTGGCCTGTGAGCAGTTCTTGGGGAAGAACGTGCAGGATGTGAAGAACGTGGTCCTTCAGACGCTGGAGGGGCATCTGCGCTCCATCCTAGGTGTGGAGGGGCTCATGCTCTTGAAGGCAACTTGAGTAGCTTTGGCAGCAGCCACAACGTGTGCTTCCTCTGCTGACTGCAGAGGTGGCATCTTAGGTTGTTCCTCCCCTACAGCAGCTCCTGCTGTGTGGCTGGGTGTTGTGATAAATGAGTTTTCAGTGCCTGCAGTAAGAGATGTCTGAGTCCCCACGGGTTACAGGTAGCACGTGTGCGTGGTGGTTGCACTTGTGAGACTGAGATGTTGGTGCATGCTGCAGGGCCTGGGCAGAGGGTTACACCCTTGTGCCCAGACCTGAAGAGATTAGGAGCAACGGGGATGTTGCTGAGCTTAGACCCATGCCGTTGTGTGTTACCTAATCCAAATAAAGTGCTTCGCCTTCCTCCCCTCTGCAGGTACCCTGACAGTGGAGCAGATCTACCAAGACAGGGATCAGTTTGCCAAGCTGGTGCGGGAGGTGGCAGCTCCTGACGTGGGTCGCATGGGTATCGAGATCCTGAGCTTCACCATCAAGGTACACCCAGATGTAGAGAGCTGCGCTATGGGGCACCCCACAGTGCTGTAGAAGCAGCAGAACAGAGCCTGGCCCTGGCTCCTACGCTGTAGCTGGCTGAAAGGCTCAGGCTGAAAGCCTGCCCCAGACCTCCGGGAGCTTCCACAACAGCCGCTGCAGCATGTCCTGTATCCAGGCAGCTGGGCAAAGAGCACCCTGTAGCTGCCTCTGTAAACATGGCTGGGGGAAAGAGCTCGCTGATAACCGAGTCTCCAGGGAGTCGGAGGGAAGATGTCAGGAGAGCTCGCCTCTCCCTGTCACGCCTGTTTCCGTTGGGCAGCAGGCTGACATGGCTTGTTCTGACCCTGGCCTAACCGCACAAGTGGTTGCTCTGAGCTTCAACAGGAAGGGAGCAAGATGGAGTCACTCATTTGAAGTGGTTGTGACTTGTCTTCCCCCCTCCAGGATGTCTATGATAAAGTGGATTACCTGAGCTCCCTGGGAAAGACTCAGACTGCAGCTGTCCGAAGGGATGCAGACATCGGTGTGGCAGAAGCCGAGCGAGATGCTGGCATTCGGGTGAGTCCAGAGACATGCTGGGCTTCCCTGGAGCAGCCTGGTTTGCTCCAGCTGCACAGCCTGGAGCTCTGCTCTCTGTTTCCTCCCTGCAGGAAGCAGAGTGCAAGAAAGAAATGCTGGATGTCAAGTTCATGGCAGATACCAAAATAGCAGATTCCAAACGGGCTTTTGAATTGCAGAAAGCTGCCTTCACTGAGGAGGTCAATGTTAAGGTGAGAGGTATCCCACAGCCCACCGCTATTCCCTGGCTGCTTTGTGATGGTATTGCTCTGGGACTCACCAGCTTCCTCCTCCTGCCTGCGTTAGGAGAGCTGGAGGTGGAGAACCCAGGTTTCTATGTCACAGGGTGAGCTCCTCGCAGCAAATTCCTCTCCTGTTTGCAACAGTTAGGTGAGACGAGGAGGAGGTGAAAGGATGGGGAGGGTCATCTAAGCTGAACCCAGAGCTGGTTCGGCTCAAGTATTAAAGGAAGAGCACAAAGCGAAGGACAGCAAGTGCAGCTCTGAGGATAGGGACGTCACCTCTGGGTGGAGGTTTGGTCCAGAGCAGGAGCCACATATTTTCGGGGCCTGCCAAGGCTCCCTGTGTCCCTATGTGCACAGGAGACCATGGCCAAGACCCCTCTTCTCATCTCTCCTGTGTGCAGACTGCAGAGGCCCAGCTGGCCTATGAGCTCCAGAGTGCGCGGGAGCAGCAGAAGATCCGCCAGGAGGAAATTGAAATTGAGGTGGTACAGCGCAAGAAGCAGATTGATGTTGAAGAGAAAGAGATCATCCGGATGGAGAAGGAGCTGATAGCCACTGTGAAGCGGCCGGCCGAGGCCGAAGCCTACCGTATCCAGCAGATCGCCGAAGGCGAGAAGTGAGTGAGCCCATTACCTGGTCCAGCCCTGAGCCCAGCTGCACGCTGGGTCAGGGTGAGGTGGAAGCAAAATGCAGTGGGTGCTGTGCTGAGGCCCAGCTCGTGGGCTCTCTACAGGACAGGCACATGGCTGATGGAGGGAGGGAAGCAGCGCTGGGTACGCTTGCAGGGATCTGGGCTGCTGGAGGGCTGAGTTTCCCTTTCCAGGGTGAAGCAAGTCCTCATCGCTCAGGCAGAAGCAGAAAAGATCCGCAAGATCGGAGAAGCGGAGGCCTTTGTGATTGAGGCCATTGGGATGGCGGAAGCTGAGAGGATGAAGCTGAAGGCTGAAGCACTCCAGCAGTATGGAGAAGCTGCCCAGCTGGCTCTAGTGCTGGATGCACTGCCTGAGGTGAGGAGGGAGCAGCTTTCCCCTGCTCCTCACGAGTGGTGGGGAGTTCCCAGACTGGGCCAGATCTCCTGGGGGCACAGAGAAGCCCCACAAGCTTGATCAGCAGGCTGGTGAGCAGCTCCTTGGCCTTTGGCTCATCCCACCCTCCTTCCCTGCCTCCCCAGATCGCTGCCAAAGTGGCTGCTCCCCTCTCCAAAGTGGACGAGATCGTTATTCTCAGCGGAGAGAGCAGCAACACAACATCTGAGGTGAACCGTCTGCTGGCCGAGATCCCCGCTTCTGTGCGTGCCATCACCGGCGTGGATCTCACAAAGGTGAGCCAGGCACCGGCAGCTGGCAATGCCTGCGGCTCCTAGGGCACAAGGACTTGCCTGAAAACTTTCCAGGCTCGTAGGGATCCTCTCCTTCCCCCAGCCCTGCCCAGCCACAGAGTGCAGGCTCCCCCTCCTCCAGCCCTAACAGCTTCTCTCTTCCCCTCCTACAGATTCCCCTGATCCAGAAAGCCACCGGGGCCCAGGCATGAGGCTGGCCCACCCAAAGCTAGTGAAGATCACTCCCTGTTATGCACTCAGACATCAACTGCCTTCAACACGTGGGAATTCCTTTTATATCAAAGACAATTGGAGTTTCATTTTTAAGCTCTGGTGCCTTATTTTGTAGGGCCAGAAAGATGCATGTCCAATCAGCTGCTCTTTTTATTACAAAGGGTGGGAGGGGATTTATTTTGTAATTAACTGTATATTGTATCAAGCCAGGGTTTGGATCTGATCCCCAGTTAACGACTGGCAGCTTGTCTGGTGTTGCAATCCTGGTGCCTTGCTGTTCTCTGTCCTTGGGCGGCCCAGAGCTCAGAGCAGAGGCTCATTGGGACACGGAGAGTGGAGTGTGGAGCTGTAGGAAGAGAACAGCCAGGACCCACTTTCCCTGGGCTCCCTGCCCTCCCGCAGTGACCCTCCTGGGCACAGCCTGACCCCTGCCTCTGCCCACAAGCTGTTTTTGTGGCTGGCTTTCCCCATCCGAGTGTCTCACCCCAGGGCCCCCGCAGTGCTGTAGCAGCCCTGCCCAGGCTGGGCTTCCCGGAGGTGGCAGTCACAGCCCTGGGAGGGTGACAGTCAGGCACTACCCTCCCTCAGGGATGTTTCCTTACAGGATCTGGAGGTGGGAGAGCTCAGGGGGGGAGCTGATGGAGCATTGGTGGAGGGA